CACGTGCACTGTTTTACTGTTCAGCAGCTGAGAACCCTGGAACGAGAAATACATGCTTCAGAGTAGGAATACTTAAACGCGCAAGTACGTAAATTGTACGCACAAAGCTGCAATCCCGAATTAGATGCCAGCCAGATTCGTACCAGTTTTTCGATTGGGATTTATTGAAGACAGAGTTGAGCAAATTTTATTTGAAACAAAGATAAAAAAGAAAAGTTTTCAAGTAATTCAAGTCAACATTTTAATAATGCTCTACTATTTTTATTCGAAAAATAACGGAATTAAATATATAATTAAGTAAAATTAAAATTATAATTAAATAAAATAAAATTAAATAAAATTAAAATATATAGTATAAATAAATAGTATAACAAATAACTGGCAGTATATTAACAGTACAATGAATAATTGTACCATACATTTTTCTAAAAATTAATGCAACACATCAGTTACATATAACGCACTTGTTGCTTTTACAAAATAAAATTTTTCTCGTGGACGATTTCGTGTATAGTGTGTATATTGCGCACAGGCCAGTCTTACGATAGTAGACACCTGGATTTTTTTAGGGATGGGACCAGTGTACAAGTATAAAGGAGTCGTGAAAGAGGAGTCGTTTATAAGAAAGCATTGAAAGCCTTGCAAAGAAGGGTCCGCTTACGTTGCTTATTGATCTTGTCGGCGAGTCCTGCATTGGTTCAGTCCTATGGCCACAGATATATCTAATAGGAAAGAACATTTTCATAAATTTGTCTCCTAACGAGCGTCTATCTCAATAAAACAATCGTGAAATTTATTTCTTTACTGTATATTATCCTTCTGTTGTAAAATTTAGAAAAAATTTGACTCGTTTCTGTGTGATATCCTTAAAAGAGAAAGAATATTTTCATAAAATTGTCTTCCAACGTATATCCATCTTAATAAAATAGCCATTAATTGTTTCTCCATTTTCTACTATAACATTTAAGACAGTTTGATTCATTTCTGTGTTCGTCAAAAGTTGATCTTCAAAAGAGAAAAAATATTTTCTTGATTAAATTTGTCTTTCAATAAATATCCATCTTATTGTTAATAAAATGAATATGAAATTTACTTTCTGTATACTTCTTTCATCTTTCTATATGAAATTTACTTCTTTCTATATACTTCTTTCATCTTTCTATTATAAAGTTTAAAATAAGAATACACATAGTCACTCACTTATTAAAAAAGTTATTTACACAAACAGATTATTTTATAATAAATTACGAGTATTCATCCACCCACAATTATCAGAAATTTATCAACGAAGTATAGGTAAAAATAGAGGAGAGCCTTTATTGATCCTGAGGTCCAGTTGCCATGAACTTGACAAGGACATTCCTCTATATAGTAACGAATTCCTTACTTAAATTATACCTAGCATTCATCCTCTAGCGAATAAATGTTCAACCATTGATTTTTCGACTACCCGCATGTCTGATTTCTTATTATGGTTGCGCATCTGTTCTTCATCTATCTAGCAACAAATGTCGCAACAACAAAATAAAAAAATGATTAGCTGGCAGGTGTTCAAAAGATTGATCGAGCATGAAAATTGCGCAAACAGGCACAAGAATCGATGACAATTCGGTTGAATCGTTACGTTTGTATTTTACTTATTATGGGTGCGTCTGTGCCTAGCCCTCGCACGCTCCACATACGTTTCATAGCGACACACCCTGTATGTGGTCCCTGATCACGTAAAATGCACAACTTGTAGTCACAATACGTCTGCTTACATATCCGATTGACGTTCGTCGCCCATACGTAGTAGCAAACCGAGCTTGGCAAATTTTATTTGAGACGAGAATGAAAGAAGCAACACTTTCAAGCAGCTTGATACTTAATATTTAATAATTAGTTTAATATTTAATACGATTTTAATGTTATACTACTTGTAATGTTGCTGTTTTATATAACATTATTGTAACATTTTACAGTAGTAACGTTATTATAATTAACTTTATTTAATATTTAATAATTAGTATTTATTTAATATAATATTTATTATTTAATATTTAATAATTAGTATTTATTTAATATAATATTTATTATTTAATATTTATAATGATTTGTAATTATATTTAATGATTAGTTTAATATTTAATACAATTTCAATGTTATACTACTTGTAATGTTGCTATTTTATATAACATTATTGTAACATTATACAGTAGTAACGTTATTATAATTAACTTTATTTCATATTTAATAATTAGTATTTATTTAATATAATATTAACTTTATTTAATATTTAATAATTAGTATTTATTTAATATATTTATTATTTAATATTTATAATGATTTGTAATATTTAATAATTAGTTTAATATTTAATGTAATTTCAATGTTATGCTACTTACAATGTTGCTGTTTTATATAACATTATTGTAACATTATACAGTAGTAATGTTATTATAATTAACTTTATTTCATATTTATAAATTTAATATTTAATATAATTTCAATGTTGCTATTTTATATAACATTACTATAACATTTTACAGTAGTAACGTTATTATTAATAACTTTATTTAATATTTAATAATTAGTATTTATTTAATATAATATTTATTTAATATTTATAATGATTTGTAATTATATTTAATGATTAGTTTAATATTTAATACAATTTCACTGTTATACTACTTGTAATGTTGCTATTTTATATAACATTATTGTAACATTATACAGTAGTAACGTTATTATAATTAACTTTATTTCATATTTAATAATTAGTATTTATTTAATATAATATTAACTTTATTTAATATTTAATAATTAGTATTTATTTAATATATTTATTATTTAATATTTATAATGATTTGTAATAATATTTAATAATTAGTTTAATATTTAATGTAATTTCAATGTTATGCTACTTACAATGTTGCTATTTTATATAACATTATTGTGACATTTTATATTGTAACATTATACAGTAGTAACGTTATTATAATTAACTTTATTTAATATTTAACAATTAGCATTTAATATAATATTTAATATTTATAATGATTTGTAATAATATTTAATATTTAATAATTAAAATAAATAACTTTTTTAATTTAAACGTTTGCTGTCAATTATATTTTCATGTCTAATTATATTTATCTGGACACGTATCTTATAATTAGCATTGAGAATCACGTGAGAGCATTTAAAACAATCCTGATTGTAATAATAACTGTTTGCAATTGTAACGCCTGTTCGCAAGCGTTTAATTTCTCCATTGTTTAACTTGCAATGTAATAATCCATGCAAATGTTAACTCATGTAAAGTAAGCGTAGATTTTGCTCCTTTGAAATTTTATGGAAGTCTCAGTTTAGAAAACAAGCCGTGCATAAAACTCGTTTCCGCGTTTCGCATCATCGATTTTATTGATTTACATTGATACAGAGCTTCTGGTTACTATTAACTTGCTCCCGTTGAGTAACTGTTTACTTTCCCTGCGAGAAAATTCGCTTCCACGCTGAAACTGTTACATCTCAACGAACAGTTTATTTAGTTTCCTGTACTGTAAAACAATGTGTGGACGAAAATGAACGTAGGCGATAATGCTCGCTCACGCGCACGTGCTCGCCTCTAACTATTCCAGCAATTAATTGCGCAACCTTTAAACGGAGCCAGTTTATAGCTCTCCATAAAAGTGGAAATGTTCCATGCAATGTTTTTACAACCCCTGATATGATACCCACATCCCCGCTTACAATCAGAAATCTTAGAATAAGTACTATATTTGTATGATAAAAATGGTACAAACACAACTTATGAATTATACACAATAAATACAATATTTATAATGTAAATTACACGATACAAAAGTATAAATTGTATGCGCAATATCCTATATATAATATAAATTCTATTTACAATAAATACAATATTTATAATATAAATTACACGATACAAAAATATAAATTGTATATACAATATGCTGTATACAGTATAAATTGTTCTATTTATAACAAATACAGTACATGCAATTTAATTAAATATAATAAATATTGTATAACATACTTTATACAATAAAGACTCTGTTGTAATATTAATATTATTATATTGCAATACATTTATTTACATTTAATTTTTAATTCAAATTAAACACAGTGCACACGATATGATCAAATAAAATAAATATAAAGCATACTTTATACAATACAGATTATATTAATATATTAATATATTGTACTACATTGTATTACAAAATACGTGTACACGATAATTCATGGTAAGTATTAAATATTGAAAATAAAAGTAAAATAAAAATTTATATTTTATAATTTTTGATTAAATAGGAGTTAATGATCTTGTACTTACTTCACTGATAATGGCAACTTGAAATCACGGGGGTTATTGCAATTTTTTTTTTTAAATGTACATACACACCGTGGATTTTTATTATCTTTTATATGAAATAAGAAAATTGAATTGTTGATGATAAAATTAAATATTACAGGCAAGTACAGATAAATGAATATATGTAATGAATATATTTATGTATCGATAAAACTTTGACATGCTTCAATTCCACAGTGCTTATGCACGAGCCGCCTCTGCTAATATATTTACAAATAGAGTAAATTATTTATATACATATACTTTGAGATTATTTTCAATTTTCGACCATCTAAAGTTACTTATACCCATATCAAGTTATTGGATATTTCTGATCGATCAATCGATGACTATACGTTCAAGTAAAAAAATACAACTTATTGGTTATATTATAAGAATGTTACGTTACATCATTACTTCCTCGTAATTGGTTCTTCGCCACGTGTTTCCGGTTTATATAAAAAATGGAGAAGTTTGATTGGTTCGCTTCGTTTGCACGTGAATCGGGTTTTGAATTCCCGGGTTTTCTACATTGCGGCTACACGTCACTGCAGCAACCGTAAAGAATTTTAGAATGCATGCGCGAATGAAACCATGTATTGCGCGTCACGTAAGTATAGTGTGTGCCGCATTGCACAGTTCAAATGGAAAACGTCACCACTCTAAATAGAAATGTTTTAAGAGAAGGAGCGGAAGGGAAGTCGCAGTTTTTCTACTTGAACGCAGTATTTGCTAGTTTGGAATTGTATATCGAAATATAAACTTCTGCCTGCACCTGCGGCGTAGAATCAAGCGAGAAAAATGTCATCTGGGCCGATTTTGAATCCTGTAAGTGTTATTTTCGTCGAGAGCTGTTTCTAATAAAATTGATACAAAATGATCCAATATCATTGATCCAAAAAGAATATAGTATCTGCAATGCTGATACAATCGCAATGAAATATAGCTTATCGACCTACTAATTCGACTGTTCTACTTTTTATTTTTATGTTTTATGTGAAAATAATATTGTACAACTTAACAATTCCAAATTGAAAAAAAAGAGAAATATTAATTATATAACGATTGTCTTTTTCATTTTTTTTTTTTTTTTATGCAATTTAAAGAGACACAGCTTAATTAAATTTTAATTTAATTGTATATAGTATTTTTATATTTTAACTTTATATTTTAATGAGATTTTTATATTTTAATAGCCAATCCCTTTTGTGGGAGCTCTCGAAGGTGGGTTAGTACCTGGAAAAATGGTAAAGGTTCAAGGCAAAGTTCCTGCCGATGCTGTGCGTTTTGCTGTGAATTATCAATTGGGACCAACGTTAAATCCAAGGGATGATATTGCCATTCATGTGTCACCACGTTTCACAGAAGGATTTATTACTAGAAATCATATAGTATCAATGACTTGGGGCCTAGAAGAAAATGATGGTCCTATGTGGATACAACCTGGCCAAGAATTTGAGATACTACTTTTATGCGACTTTCCATCTTATAAAATCGCCATAAATGGCAGACACTTTGCAGAATTTGTTCACCGGTTACCGTATGAAAAAGTAACACATTTGGTCATCGACGGTGATGTAGAAGTGCAGTCTATATCATATGAGATTGTTCCCATTGATCCACCTCGTTCTCCTCGAAACGTATCTGCTCCAGATATACCTGCTGCTGATTTTGGACCGCCACGTAATTAAGCATTTTATACATTTTTTTTTTTTATATTTATTGATGAAATGAATAATTTTAAAAGTAGGATGCTATTTAATTGTTTTATAGCAAATTCTATATGATTTTAGCGCCTGGAGGACTATATCCTACAATACAAGGTGGATATGGTCCACCACCTCCAGTTCCAGGAGGTTATGGGCCTCCTCCCCCTGGAGGACCTGGTTATAATCCACCAAGAGCATATGGGTATCAGCCTGGATATGAGAAGCCTGAGGAAGAAGATGCATTTAGTGGTTGTTTGGATAAAGTTGGATTAGCGATAGGGGGATTAGTTGCAGCAGGAGGCATAGCAGCTGCCGCACATGCTCTAAATGTATATAAATTTCATAATTATAAGTGTTTTAACAATTAAATGCAGGATATTGAAGATAATGATATATATCAACTGTAATTTTCTAGAAAAAGAAAGGGGATGTTGAAGAAGATCAAGAAAAATCTGACGCATCCAAATCGAAAACAGAGAGCGAAAGTGGCTTGGGAAATCTTGGTTCTCTTGGCGCAGCTTTAGCAAGTAGCTTAGTGACCAATGCTTTAAGTAATTCGCATGCACAACAAGGCTATCCCGCCCAGCAACCAAGCGGTGGTGGCGGTGTATTAGACTCTATTCTTGGAGCATTAGGTATGATATGGATACATTTTTTGCGTCCAAAATAACAAGTTTAATCAAATTACAAAATAATGCTTTTGTTAATCTTTAAAATTGAAGATTTAATATACAAGATATTGTAATTTATTCATAATTATCATAGTACTGGAATGTTGGATGATGATATAAATGACATCATCGACTGCAAGCTATTTACATTAAAGGTCATAGTGAATCATGATAAATGAGTAACATAGATAAGTTTGTCTTCCAGTTAAAATGTTTCTATATTTCATATTCAGTTACAATACATTAAATTTTTTTATACATAAGGTGGCAGTGGTGGGCATAGCGCAGCACCACCACCTCCTCCAAGTCAGCCAAGTGATCCATTGACAGGAGCCTTAGGATCTATTATTGGTGGTGTTCTTGGAGGTGGTGGAAATCAACAACCAAATTATCAACCTTCAGGAGGTTATGGAAATTATCAACCCTCTGGTGGATATTCTAGCCAATCATCAAATTCAGATCTTTTATCTGGGATAGGATCAGCTTTGTTTAGTTCTGCTTTAGGAAGTCTTACCAAGCATGGTAAAGATGTAAGTAATGTAAACTATCTCAAAAATTGTAAATATTGTAAATATATAAATTTTATTCTAATTTTATAATTGTGATTATATGCAGAAATCTCATGAAGAACATCATTCAACACCATCATCAACTTATAGACCAAGTACTCCACCACCTGTACAACCTCCTGCATCTTCTGATAGTCCTGCTTCAGGAAAGAAATTAACTGCCGATGAAATTTCAAAAGGCCTAGGTTTGGAAGACTAATGTAAGTTGAGATAAAAATTCGTATGAAAAAATATATGAAAATGAAAGTTTTATGCTCTCTTATTGATATATAACATAAAATGAGCTATATTATTTTAAATATAATAATTAAAACAATACGAATATGTGCACAATATGATTGTGAGTTAGAAATGTTTAATGTAAAAGGCAGCTAATTATATATTTGACATAAAAATTCCAATAGAAAGCATTACAAATTGTAATACGAGCTGTTTGAATCTCATGCTATACATAAAGAGATTAATATTTTTGTATATAGAATATTTATTTAAAATAAATTTGCTCCAATTGTTTTTACGCAATTTTACAAACAAAATAAAATGAAATATTTATAATATAATCCTTTCAAGCTTTGTAGTTGACAATTTATAAACAAATCGATATTTTTTAAGATTTATTATATTTTTATAAAGATGCTGGTAGAATTCAAATGCATTAGCAAAATGTTACTTGTTTTCTCTTCTATGCAAAGAATAAAAAAATATACAAATATGTATACAAAACATAAAGTATTATATATCAATAAATTTATTCTTCATGAATAATATCTGTTGATGAACATGTTTCCAATGTTGTCCCATGATGTGTCTGTAATATAATGAATATGTTAACTATACATTTATAATATAAGGAAAAATGTTTAAGTAAACTTACATTCGTTTCAGATTTTAATGCTTCAAGTTCTTTTTTCTTATTTCGATTAAAAAATCCAATTTTAATTAATGCTAATATTAACAATATTAACAATAAAATTCCTAAGATAATTGATAAAACTATAATCCACGTAGCAATGTGTTGAGCCACTGGTGAACCTAGGAACATTGTAGCAATAACAGTACCATTGGGTTTGTGTTTAATTTTTTGGATAACATGATGTGATTCTAAGATATTGACTTTCCCACTAGTTAAGAAAAATATAATGTCTTTTCTTTTCATGATCTTTGCTGTAATAAAAAATTAACAAGAAACAATGGACTTTCTTGACATATTTTAGAAATTAAAAATATACTAACATATCAAGCAGAAACTTACATTTAAAGTGAGATAAATAAAAGTCCAATGTAAGTGAAAGTTTTGCAACAGATGAAGAACTTACAAAAGGACCAAGTTGACATATAATATATGTACATTTTACATTAATATTTGTGCAATTAATATAAAATGACCTATTGTCTGGTGGAAAGTTGATAGAAAAATTAGTATTCATTCTAAATTCTTCCTGTGTGTACAATTCAGTATTTGTAGAGTAAATTTCAGATTTATGAATTAAAGTAGTTGATGCTGTAGAATTTTCATGTGCGCAGTAAAATGGTTGACCATTGAGATTGCTAATTGTTTCATTTATATTAATAATTTGTATGTCTTCAGCATTATGTTTCCAGTATGTTGGAACACTAATTGTTAACATAACTTCGTCAATTGGACTAACTCCAAATTTCTGAATTTCATAAATATGTTGAAATTGAATACTGTTTAATTTTTTATTTTCATCTTCAAGAGAATATGAATATAAATTGTCTTGCGCTTTTCTAATAAAAAATAATTATAATTACTAAATAATAATGTAGTTGTAGAGTAAATGAAGCATAATTTATCAGTCATTTGATAATAGTAATAAATAAACTACTAACCCTGCAATCACTATGTCGACATCAACATCAAAATATATAATTAAAATATTTGTATTATTGAATGAATCTTTTTGTTCACTTTGTGTATCAAAATTGGCCCATAATTTCACATGATCAACTTTAGATCGAACTTTATTCATGTCCAAATCTAATGTTAATGTTTTCTAGTAGAAATGTCCAATTATGTTACTGTATTGAAGAAAATTTAATACTTAACAGATTATACTTACATTTTTTCGGAGTGGGTTTCCAACATCACATATTACTTCCAAAGTGTTATTCGTATAAAAACTTTCCATGCATGAAGGTGATATACTTCCTAATGACAATGTTTTTGGTATATATATGTATATTTTAGCTTGATACGCAGGTTCACCATAATTAAGAACATCTATTTTAAGTTTAGTAGTGATTGTTGATCCAATGATATATCTGTTACCAGAATTTAAGTCTGTTGAAAGTAATATCTTTACATCTGATGTACAAATATTGTCGTCACCACAATCTACAGCAAATGGTAATTTGATTGAATCTTCTGTTTGGGAAAGTAATTTATTTATGGCTACACACGATGTGCAAAAAGCGTTTATCTGACTGTCATTTGAGTTCCAGTTTTTTTCCAAATTAATTGAGACAGATATTTCAATTGGATTTATTACATTTTGAATATTTTCCTAACAAAATATAAATAAAATATATTTTTAAAAATCTTAAAAAGATATTTATTCTTTTAAAAAGGTTCTTAAAATTCTTTGTAAAAAGGAATCTTACCTTTAAATGTATTTCAAATTCATTGCATAAGTTTTTAGATTTATATAGAGTGTCAGGCAATTTATAAATATTATCATTATTTTTTTCTGTATTATAATGAGCTCTTCTATATATCTGGTCAATTTTCAAAGATTTAACAATTCCTAAACATATTAGTTGACTATGGTATTGTAGATGTAATATGTTAATTTCTTTAAGTTTAATTTCTCATTTACTTCATTTACTTTTTTAATAAAAATTTAATTATCTACTTACGAATATATTTAGGAGCATTTATTCCATCATAATGTGCGCATAAGTTGATTAGAAAAGAAGTAGAATTTTTTAATAATTTCTTATTTTCATCATAAGCTAATTTTGTAGTTATTATTATAACAGGTTTTGATTTTATTAAAACTGCTTGTTCAGATAAATATGCTCCAACTGCAATATCAGGATATTTATCACCATTTATGTCACGAGGTTCGGAAATTGAAATCCCGAATCCACGGATATTTCTTCCAAATTGCTTGCCAATTATCCTTTGACTATACTGTTTAGGTAATCCATTGCTATTGCCATTGAAAATATATATTGCACCACTTTCTTCTTCATATGGTGCACCAACAGCAATATCACCGTAACCATCATAATCAATATCACCAAGACAAGTTATGATAGAACCAAATCTACTTCCAGATATTTTTCCTTCAAATGATTGTTTTTCAAAAATTTCCTACCACCAATGTTTGAGATCAGTATATATACATTTAAGATAAATAATAAAGTATCATAAATTAATTATAAATTCAAAATTTGCAATTATATTTAACAAGTTTTAAATTATTGTATTTAAACTATAATATTTTTTCTACAATACTTCGGTTATATTGCAAAATATACGTACATCATTTAAAGCAGTAAAAATGTACATGCGACCTTCGTCTATATTTTTTGACCAATGTGGTGCTCCAACAATTAATTCATCTTTATCATCACCATTAAGATTACATGATGATAAAGCAGCACCAAAGTATTCACCATGTTGCTCACCAATCAATAACTTTTTTACTTCTAATTTTGTATTATCACTGTGAGAAAAGGTAAATATAATAGCAGCACCATGTATGTTTGAAGCTCTAGGAGCACCAGAAGCAAACCACAATTTGCCTTTTATAAAATAACCAGAGGTTACTGCATACCCTAAATAAATAATATCTTGTACAATTTTAATGTTTTATTTAATTTGAAATTTCAGTTAATTATTATCAAGTTAAATATTTGGTAAATATATATCTCATACAATTACAGATTAACATTATGTAAATTTCATTTAATTATATTCATTTTTTAATAAGTACATGTGTATTAGCATTATCAAATTTTTTTATATATATATTATATATATATAATATATTACAAATAATTTAGAAATATATCTAAATGATATATTTAAATGAAAAACGAGATTCACATAATTTGCAAATGTTAAAAAAAGTTTTGGGTCATTTATATTCTGTTGAAGATAAGTTTAGTAACAACACATTTTTTAAATATATATTTATGCTATTCAACATTATTATTTAAAAAAGCTAAAAGTGGAATATTTTTCTCTAAAACTATTTAGGTATTAATATATAATATATATGCTCATGTATATTACATGATTACATTACTTCCCTTAATAATTATTACGGAATTGTAAGAAAAAAAGTGGAAAATAATATAACTGATTATAATAATTATAAAATGAATGGCAGTAGTTAATTTAATAATAAGAATTATAGAATTTGTACTTTTATATTAATAAAAATGAGAGTTGCAATTAATGTTATAAATTGATGAAAAATTTTATTTATAATAAAGAACTAAACTTTATATAAAGTGTACTATGCATAACTATGTATAAAATGAAAGAAATATGTTTACTAAAAAGTCTCTTATGTGTCGATATTATTATTTATTATTTGATGTAAAATATATAATAAAATTATTAACAATTTATGTATATAATTTTGAAAGAGAATGTTACTTACCAAAATAGCTGTTTGTGTGAATACTTCTTTCATTTTTAATTGATGGAATTATAGTTTGCGTTTTACCACGAATTGATTTTGTAACTAATAAGGGTGTGCCCTTCCAATTAAATACACCAGGGCTACCTAATATTAAATCCCATTTTAAGTCATTAGATGTCATATGCATAGAAAAGCCAACTTGACTCATTCCAAAATTATAAATATTCGTTTTCCCATATACGTAAATAGCTTCTTGGACTTTTGCAAACGATAAAATGTCGGTTTCAGTTTCTTTCTCAAAAGATTTGGTACTGTTAATTAATGACAAATAACAAATGCCATTCATAAACCAATTAGATACGTTTTTATTTGTAACACTATTCTTCAATCGTGGAGCACAAACCTATTTACAAGTTTAATTAAATAATCAAAAAATTAATTATATTTTTTAAAAAATGAATTCTTTAAAAAATTATGAAAAAAGAATACAAATTTTTACATACCACAATTTTAGGATTAGTTTTATTTTCTACAGCAATTGTTGCACCAATCCATGCATTGTCCTTAATTTGATTAATTGTTGAATATTGTTTATGGTTCTCTGGCTTATTTCTTCTGTCAATAATCCATTCCTTACATGCCTCGTTAATTGGACATTGAAATACAGTACCTGGCTCAATTACATTTTCTATTATGCTTGTATTTGCTCTTGGAGCACTTACAAGTAGTACAGAATCTTCTCCATCTGTATAAAGTGCAACAGAAAATCCAAAATAACTTCCTCGTTGATGATTAAAAACTTTAGGAATGTTAAATACTTTAGCATTATCAATATTTAAATTATATGCTAGTACATTATATTGTAAAATTATAAGTGCAAAATTGTAAAACCCTATGTTGATTTTAGTTGATGAAATTGAGTATAACATTTTAAGTAACTGATGTTAATAAAATGAAAGACCATAGAACATTACTTTTAAAACTAAAAGAATTGAGATTTGATGCCCACAGGAAGGAAGTATTTTATATCTGTATACCACAATGACATCATAAAGCAATTAATCCACATTTGTTTCATACATGTATTTATATGTATTTTCCATTAAAATTAAGAGGGAACTTGTATTCCTTATATTAAATAAAGTAGAGATATACAAATTTACTGGACAATAAATTAATGCATAAATTTAAGTAATTCTTTCCTTTATTTGTTATAAGTTAATAAAGACGTATAAATGCAGGATTAAATAATGCAATATTCTTAACTTGTTTTCAAAGCTAAACATATCAGAAAAAAATGTATATCAATTTATTGTTTTATTATTCTCCATCACACTTACAAACCATGTCAACAATACACATTAGCTGGATCGCTTATTATAGCTAATGCAGCATTAATTTACCTATAATTCTCGGCGGTGTTTTGCTGGAGTTTCGATTATATACGATTTAATGGTCATATCCAAATATGTTTATGTTATAATAATAAATTGAATCCTAAACAATTGAGACGTCAGTTGTTAATAATTTTAAACATTTGAGACTACTAAATTCGTAATCCTTTGTACCAATTATAAAATATTGTGATCAATAAAAACTGTGAAAAAGATTTATTTCTCTGGGACAGTCTTTCATCATAAGAGATTCCAATAAAATATAGGATATACATATGAAGGTAACAGAAAAATAATAAAGTCTAAAAGAAGATAGAAAAAATCGCTCATATTCGTGTGTGAACAAACTTAGTATTATAAAAATATACTTCAAGGAATCACAGATTTATTATGTACAAAAGGAAATGGATTAAAAAGGTGGAGAAAGTAATAGGAGCTTAATCGGAAGAATCAGTTGTAGTTGAAATGGTTTGGGATAAAGGCTTAGATCGAATACGATAGCTCCTTCTTACTACGTTCACCTTCTTTCTAAAATATTCTAGATTTTTTAGTTTTTGCTCGTGATCGGAGCTTTCTGCATCATTCTGATCTTTCTGTGCTTGTTCACCAGTTTTTTCACTTGTTGATACTCCTGATGTGATACCACTATCAGGAGTTGAAGGAACTTTGCTTGATTTGTTCACTGGCATTGATGGACCATCTTTTTGAAGTTTTATTGCATTACTAACATCATTTAAATAAAGCTTCCAATCTCTGTCCGATTTCTTCTTCTTCGTATCGTAATCAATTTTCTGCCGTTTGCTTTTATTTTTAGTAATGTCATTTTTTGAATTGCTTTTACATTTTTTATGTTTTCTTCTGTGTACCTTTGTGGACGTGTCAGAATCAGTTTTTGAATGCTTCCGTTTGCCAGAAATGTCATTATCTTCCGAACTGCTACTGCTATAATTTGAATGTTTTGCATCCCTCTCAATGTGCACAACGTATCGTGATCTTCTAGAAACTACACCAGAACTGGTACTAGGCTGAGTCGTGTCAACAGGTTGTTCATCACTATCAGAGTCACTATTAATTTGTAACACTGCACACTTTATTCCGGCTCTTCTTATTTCAGTAATTTTACTATGTTTCCTTTTTATAAATTTTAATTTTGATTTAGATTTACACTTAATTTGTGTATTATCACCGTCACTAGCAGAACCTGATGCAGATGGTTCTGACGCTGCAGCTGAAGCATTATTTGCTTGAGCACCACAATCTACAGCTGCAAGTCTCATCAGTTTTTCTCTGCGATATGCTATAAGTCGTGTTATACGATTGGGAGACTCTAAGGGTCTTTCAGGAGCTACACCACCTCCAGAGGATCCGTGAGATGCTAATGTTACTGCCGGTCCCAAAATACTTAACATCAATTGACGATCAGAAGCTGTAGAGTCTATAAGAACAAGAAATGATTACACTAAAAATTATGATCATTTTCGATTATTATTTTAATGTAGTTTCTATAAAAAAAAATTTAAAGAGAAAGTACCATCAGAATCTGTTGCACTATAAACTCGTCCAGCTATAAGATTACTTTCCGAATCACTAGGAGTTTGAGGCGCTGTTGACATATCTTCAGAACTCCAGCCTTCAACTTCACGTTGTACCAATGAATCAAAAAATGCCATCATTCTAGGATCTTCTCTGGTTGATTGATGGCTATAATCATGAGTCATAAATTGACCACTGCGTAACACTAGTCCAATATATTCATCATGTGTGAAGACTCTGCGTTGCCTCTCTTGTCTTCCATCATCTCTCTACAAAATATGAAAGTAGTAGTATACATTATCAACATACATTAAATATACATATATACAAAATTAAATTATACATATAAAATTACCTTTAATCCACCTAAACAATTACTTCCAAGAGGAAATGGACTCCAAATCTTAATGAGTTTTTCAACTCCAGATGAAGCAAAAATACAACTAGCTTGATTGTATCGCACTTGATTAACAATAGATCTATGACCACGTAATACCATGTGTGCAGAATTTACCCACTTTACATCCTCAGAAGGAATTTTCCACATATATAGATTGAAATCATCGGAACCTTAAAACGCAGTTTTAATAATACATGAATATTTAACTAGCAAAGAAAGTATGTAAAAAGATGTACAATTATTGCAGTTCTACTTACCAGACAGTACATACTCATCGTTATCACCAGCAAAACAGCATGATTTCATTGTGCAACTGTTATAGTACCCAGGATGATCAAATTGACATAAATGAGTAGAAGAGTCTACAGCATAAAGTACAGGGGGTAATCTTCTTCTCAAAGCTAATAATCTATTACCTGCTGCATTAAATCTAACGTTCATGCAACTCTGAGCTGAATTTTCGTTTCCATAACGTAACACTGGCCTGCACATGTAAAAAAGTTATTATTTTAAACGAAATATCCTCACATTTTTATTTCATTTTTTACTTACTTCAGAGGTTTTCTTACATCCCACATACTAACACCCTCTTTAGCATTGGCGGTTGCTAGCATCCTAGGTTCAATAGGATTAAACATTACGGAGTGGAAAGCTGTTTTATACCGTGCTAAACAAAATGTTTCCATGGCACTGGATCCCCGTATATCGTAAATCAAAACTCTTCCATCATCGCATGCGCTTGCAAATACATTGTCATTATGTGGATGTACGGACAGTCCATAAACAGGCTTCTCATGGAGGAAAAAATTCACAACATCTCCCCTGAATTGCAACAAAAACAATTGCTTAGTTTCATACGGTTATAACATGCAAAACTATAATAAACAAGTGTTTCGTACGTTCGTAAGTCATGAACAATAACTTGATCGTCATTCCCAGCAGAAAATATTTTCGTTTTACTGCTATCATAACCAAGGCAGAAAATATTACTAATATGTTGAGCTTTCATCACTGCAGGTTTGCCCACATCTTGTATTGCTTGCTCTACTTTCCATAATAAAACTCTTCTGTCATCGCCACCTGTTCAATTAACAAAACAAAATAATCTCGTGCCATAAACACACCCTTGTCTACTACTAATCAATTGACTACAATACAAAAACATGTTATCTAAAAAATAATGCTTATTTTACATAATTGCTTAAAATCTCAAACGGTTCGAATTTTCCGTCGACAGGTCCAGTTTCCCAAGTCGACAGGCATAAAACCGTGTGAAACGAAATGAATCGAACGTAATATGTTAGCCTTTTACCAGAAACTAGGAGGTCCCCTTGATTCGAGAATTCAATCGCGTTAACGCATCCATAATGCGACAGCAAGTCTTTCCTGAACAGATTCTCGGAACTTTCGAATCTGGCATTGACGAGACGTTTGCAGTAGTCGACCTTATCGTCGATTTGCCTCTCGACGAGATATGAGAGCGGATTACAGTCGGAAGGGCGAGCCATTTCTTCTTTACATATACTGATATGTACGCGAAAACGGACAGAACCGTCGTCTTCACCCTTCGTCCCTTTCTTCCATGTATCCTGCCACTAACGCCCGCAGCCTCTTCTTTTCGGTCAAGGTATCTCTTCGCGATTTCCTCGAGATTCCTTAAACTATCTGTCGCGCTTCGAGAACCGGGCGAACCTACGGGGAACAGAGAAAATTCGTGGCGCAATCAAACTCTGCGTGATTATTATAGGTTGTGGCTATTATAAGTTCCGTCGTGGCCGATCTTATATTTGTGATCTGTGACAGGCGTACGTCGCGAATGTATAACCCCGCGAACTTACACAAACATAGGCCGCACGAGGCGCGTATCACGCATCAACGCACTTCTGAACGCAGCCGAGAGATACGTGGATATCTACATACACAAAGGCGTTTCAACCCACCCGAACAGATTGTCTTGCTTGAGCACGATCAGCTGATCGCTGACGAGCGACTCCACGTTGTGGTAATTTTATCAATTTCTTTCCATTCGGCCTCTTTATCGGCAATTTCGGCACACTTATTCTCAATTAAACGACCGCGTTAATGTAAAACCATTTTTCCATTCGTATTTCAATTACTTACTACCTTTTTCTTCGTACAAGTATCGTCCGTAATTGATACCTCAAACTTAGAAAAACAAGGAGCATGGATACGGGCGCCGCATTGCGTGTCTCACGCGTACTTCTCACTGGACCCCCTGGTGAGTCCCCGCGACTTTTAAAAGTTACATGGTGTTCCAAAAATCACCTATTGTTAACCTTTGTTTAAAATATTTCATTTTTTTTTTTTTTCATTAATTTAAATCATTCCGTAGGTAACGCATTTAATTGCGAAAGTCACATGTTGACTGCTACGATGGTCGTTCGGGGATGCTCTATAAATATTTTACTTCAAATGAGATTTTATAGAATAAATTTTAAATAACATAACTAGACAATATTGCAACAATATGTTGTAGAAATTAAATATTTTGTTTTATAGATATAAATAAAACGTGAAAGTTTCGCATGGCAGTCAACGCGTTGATGTTGTCAACACGATGAAAAACTTATTTATTGTATTTACGTTTTGCGAATAAAGAAAAAAAGTTTATTAAAGCAATTTTAATTAAATGAATACTATGCCATAGGTATAGGAAAAACCACGATATGCGAGAAACTAGTTTCAATGATGAAACAGCAGAATTATAAGTTCGATGGATTTTATACTAAAGAAGTTCGAGGTCCAAATGGTAACAGGATTGGATTTGATGTTGTTTTGGTAAAGAATGATAAGAAATCAACATTAGCACGAGTTGAGTTAGTATCAGTTTTTTAAGTATATAAAACTTAATCTATTCTTTGCGTGAGCTAATGCCATACTGCTAAACAGAAAGGTAATAAACCAGTCGCAACACTCCAAATATAAAGTGGGAAACTATCATGTGTTCCTACATGATTTTGAAGCAGCAGCATTACCTGTCTTTGACTCGAATACAGTAAGCAAAATAGTTTCACATGTTGCACGCATATTTATGATAATAATCAGTTCACTAATTTTTGTTTTTTTAAAGGACATATTAATTATAGATGAAATTGGAAAAATGGAATTATTTAGTCAAAAATTTCGCAACGAGGTAGTGAAATCATTTTTTGAAACTTCAAACAGACTTTTCATAATCGCAACGATACCTCAAATGCACAAGATACCGCAACAACATTCATCTCTGTTCCAAAAATTTCGTACAGACGAAAAATGTAAGATTATAACTGTGAATCACCAGAATCGAAATAATTTGCCAGAAGAAATTTTTTCATTAATTTTATAAGGTACAATCTTTCCTTTTTTTTCTTTTCTTTTTTGAAGAAAAAACAATATCGATTTTAAATACATTATAAACATCGTTTATTATTAACAAAAAAACAAAATGTTAGATTAAAGAAATCCTTCCAATCACGTTAAATTTATAAAAAAGTAGTCATCACAAATAACGTGACAAATAGTGACTGGCTGGAAAATTGTACTACATATTCATGCTAAATCGCATATGTATTAGATATTTTCATAATAATAATTATTATTTCGCAGAAACCACCATTATTCGTTAAAGAACAAATTAAAAGAATAATAGGTGTGTTCATTACATGTTCAGCACCTTCTGCAAATATTAGAATATAAGTTAATCTGTTACGAGATCTTTGAGATCATTTATTCAGCTTGTGCGTGAACATTAATATCTTTAATGAACAAGGTGGTTTAATTGAGGGTACAAAATAGAAATGTTCTTTTTTTACGTCAGTTCATTATAATAAAACACAAATTGCTAATGAGGCATTGTTCTTATCATAGACAAGAAAATTTGATAACCTGTTCGCAAGTTGTCAAAACAAGCAAACTTTCTTTTTCATTTTTGTACCCATCAATATTATATCTTCATTGCATTTATTATGATACAGAAGATTTTCATGTTCCTAGAAAGAATACAGTACTTTATTGTTTTGGAGAAGCCTAAGCGTTTCCCATCTTCTCCATTTCGGTATCAAATATATTACGCACACTTTGATTGGGCTACTCGTATTTAATTATTGTTATTCATTTATTTATCAACAGTACCTAAGATGTTCCACTAGCACATGAATTTTAGTAGAGAATTAGCATACGCCATTGGCCTTACATTTGGATGAGGCTGAAAAAGGAAATCTCTATGAAATACAATTAAAAATTACGAAAACTATTAATTAGTTTGTAACATACCACTCCTTCATATGATGTGAAATGAGGTTCCATATCTTTACCATTAAGTGTGATAAAAGCACCTCGGTTACCCATAGTATCACTGAAAATAAAAAAATAAAATTTATATACAAAATGACTATTAAATATTATTAATTTTATAAAGAATTATCGTTCTTAAACTAATAATTCTCATTTACGTACCAATAATTTGGGGCAGAGAACACAGTAATACATTTTCCAAAGTGACCAACTTCATAACCATCGTTTTTTACCTCATGACTTCTTACAATGTAATCAAGATTGTTCAAAGCAAGGAAATTTTGTGTAACATCAGGACCAAATTGCACACCAACTCCTCTTTTACTGGGTGCTCTCCCAGGTTGTGGTTGTGGATCTGACCATAATAATTCACACATTAATCCTTCTTCTGGTGGTTGTCTATTTCTATCAATTTCTCTAATTTCTTTTAACGTAACATCATCTCTTGAAAACAGGCCACCGTGCATTACCTATGAAATCCATGAATATATATGTATACATAATTTATTTCAACATCCCTTCTATAGTATAAAATTTAATTAATTTATTTGGCAGTAATAAAAACTTACAAGTATTCTATTGTTAAGACAATGTGCAAGAGGAAGCCAATTATAAACTTCAGTAAATAATTCAGCCATTTGGGCAGAATATTTTGCTTTCACCTCACCATCAAATCCATACATTTGATTCATTGTGGCAGATTCATGATTACCTAAATATTGTATTTCACTATGAATATATATATATTATATTGATATATAATGAATATGTAAAAACGTACCTCTAGACATAAAAAAGTGATTTGGATATAACAATTTAAATCCAAATAAGGTGAATATACATTCTACTGAGAAAGAACCTCTATCTACAAAATCTCCATTGAATAACTATATAACTATTAAGAAATATAATCATATTTATACCCCAGTAATATATTTAACAATTAAATCAATAAATATAAAATGTAATAATATAAAGGATACATATGGATTAGTTTCTGATGGTAATCCATTTAATTCAAATATATTAAGTAAATCATAGTACTGTCCATGTATATCTCCACAGATAGTAAATTTACTATCTTCAGGAATTGTAATATCAATTAAGCTTGGCTGTGCCATAAACCATGCTTTTACATCTAAAAGGATCTTATAAGCGTATTTGCGGTGTAATTTATTTTGTTTTTTATACCATTCTAATAGATCTTGCATAAATTGTAATGTCACTTTTTCGTCTTCAAGTTTAGGCCCTGTATATTCGTCTTCAATAGCTGTAATAAAATAAAAACAATCGTACTGAAACATTTCTAAAGATATTCAAACTTATCAAATTATGATACTAAATATAATTTACCCATTGCTTCTAAATTAATCATATCAGCTATATTCTTCTTGTTTTCCTCCACAGAGATTGCTTCTTCAAAGGCTAACATTTTTAATGTTTTAGAACATTCTGTATATTTAACCTTTGCATCCTTATCGTTTGGTCTTGCTTTAGTAACAGTTTTATAATCCTTAAGAGCTAATTTGAACTTGCCAAGAGACATATGAGCCGCAGCTCTACGATAATATCCTTTCACATAATTTTTGTCTAGTTCAATAGCTTTTGACGCATCCGTAAGCGCGTATCCGAAACATTCTGTTTTTAGATAAGCAAAACTTCTATTCCCAAAATAAACTGCCACTGTCGGATTTAATTCTATGGCTTTAGAATATAATTCTATCGCTTTGGTGTAGTCTTGATCTAAAAGGGTAAATAATTGCATACATTAGTTAACAATGAAACAGTTGTAGCTGATGAAATTTCATTTGCTTTCAATGTACAATTCCAAAAGAGCTACAGATTAGTAGTCTTTAATTCAGAATGAAATCTCTCTGAATGAACTTTTTTTTTTTATATTGTTGTCAAAACAAATCAAGTACTAAAGTTTGACACACCAAGTAAAACACAGTGTGAAATGTCACTTGAATTGAAAAGTATGTTACAAATGAAAATATTTATGCAGGACAAAACGATGCGACAAGTAACAATGATTCTTTTCAAATTCTAAGAATTCCAATGGTCAGGTCTCGCCTGATAGTTTCGTGATAATTTACATTGCGGATGTTGGGGGTTAGTTTCTAGAGGTACACGTGACTAAATCGCATTATTTCAACATCAATTACGAATTTCACCCGGGTTTGGTGTTCAATCATAAAACGAACTACGGAAATCAAGCTCGTGAGGAAATTTTGCAAACGCACTTTTAAAATATTCGTTTGCTTCTTCTTTAAATTTTTCCGCTCTGGCCGCATCCTCTGGCGATATTATTCCCGTAATTTCGGCGTTCTCACTCATTTCGTGGTCAATATTGGCAGACTAATGCGACGATATAAAACGACTTAAATTATATCGGAACGTAGACAATAAATAACACATTAAAGAAACAATAATTTTTTTTTTATGTAACGGGCTTTATTGCAGACACACTGAAATCGTGAAACCTACTCTCAACTACCCCATGAAGTGATTCGATCGATCGAAGTCGAGAAGCAACGAGAACTATCGATCATTGCGATTTAAATAATATATGACTATATCAGCATATACACTATAAACGTAAAGTACATGAGTTTTCATTGTTAATTTTGTATGATTTCTTTTGCAATTTCTTTTTGTTTTTTTTTATTCATCGGGATAAAACAAGTGTAACAATTCAAAAGTGAAATTACAATATTTGAAATTGTCATCAATACGTTTCACGAATTTATTATCAAATGACTAGTTTAATTGCCTATATCGTATTGTTCTTTGTAGAAATTTCTTTTTTTCTAGCGATAAATTTTGTCATTAGTATGATTCGTTCGAAACTCCGCCATCACGCTCTCTGCATTTCAAAGTGTCTAACCTAACCTTTAAAGCATAAGAGAGTCGAATGATTTGTGATTGACAGTATTCATGATATGCAAAAAAAGAAAAAAAACTTAATATATTCAAAAGATAATATTGTAACATCAAGACATGCCAGTTAAATAAAATATATATTGAAATGTGGCCGCATATCTTAGAAACATTTCTGATTGGACGTTTCATATCAACGTTATCTTCATTTCATTCATTTTAATTTCATTGTTATTACGAATCAGACGTTCAACTTAAGGTCCAACTGATTTTGCAACCTCGTTATATTGCATTCACCAATGATATCGAGATTTAAGTGATGTGCACGAGTTGAAAAAAGGTCATTGATTTAGTTAACCTACACATCACATATTGTAAAACCATTTACATACAGAAAGTGTTGCGTTTTAAACACTTCGATATCGTTTGAAAGAAGCGACTGGCTACCGTGATGGCTAAAGTGATCAAAACAATATGTGCCGCCACAAGGAACTTGACATCACCAATGAGGAACTTTGCAGCGAATCGGGCACTACCTTTGCAGGAAGCTGCTTTGGAGGAACGTTGCATTCTTGTTAATGAACTAGACAAGGCTCTTGGCGATGCTACAAAGAGAGATTGTCATATTGTGAATTCTCAAGGGCAAGTTTTACTTCACCGAGCATTCAGTGTCTTTTTATTCAATGGTAAAAATGAATTATTACTTCAGAAAAGATCTGCCAATAAGGTAACCATTTGTATAATTTATATAAAAATTATAAGCGAAGAATACGATAAGAATGTGATCATTTCTGCTGATTTTCTGATTCTAATGTTACTTTATGAATAGACAGAATAATTTTAATATGAAGTAATCATTAACGTTTTAATATTGTAGCAGGCAATATTTTAAAAATTCTGAAGAACATAGAAAACAACAAATGTAAAGAAGTTATAAGATTAGTTGTAATGTAAAATTGCAGCTAAATTTTTAAATTATTTGTAAAAACTAGAAAATGTAATTTGCCACTCTAATTTCCTCTAACAAATTTTTATTTGCGAAGAACACATAAAGTCATATTATCCTTTGATCATTGCAAAATCAGACAGATATAATCTGTCTCTGTGTGGGAAGATTTGCCAAAGAAGAGTAAAGTGGTAGTGAGAATAATAAAAGTAATTTTATTCCTATGATCTGACAATCTTGTTTATCATATTCTTCTCCTAGTCTTCACATAGATAATTATATATTTGCATTAGAAGAAGTATATTAGACTGATGTAAAGAATTTTCTTTTTTTTAGATAACATTTCCAAATCATTATACAAATACATGCTGCAGTCATCCATTATTTGAAATTCCTGAAGAAACTGAAGAACATGAAGCGATAGGAATTCGTAGAGCAGCAAAAAGAAGATTGAATTATGAGTTAGGAATTCCTTTGTCTGAATTATTGTTATCTGATTTTTTGTATCTAACAAGAATTCATTATCATGCAGTGAATGGTACATGGGGTGAACATGAAATAGATTACGTGTTATTTATACAAAAGGATAATATTACATTGGATCCAAATCCAGATGAAATCAGTGAAACTCGTTGGGTATCAAAATCAGAAATCAACAATTTTGTGAAAAATATTGATTCCCCATTGAGTCCCTGGTTTAAATTAATTCTTAAGAATAAATTGTTGTTGTGGTGGGATAATCTGAATGCATTAGAAAAAATGAAAGATCATACAACGATACACAGGTTTATTTAAAATGTTCAAATGAATTCTTTATTCATGATATTTTATTACCAAATATTTAAATAATTATTGATAAAAGAATTTCAGGACAAAATTTGTACAAGATGATTATTTTTATGTGATCAGTTATGTTACTATGAATATATAATGAGTTGCGTACTATGAACATGCAATTGTACGCTATAAATATGCAGCATAAGTACAAAGTAAATTTATTCACATGAACTTGCACTTTGTAAATATATTTTGATAACTTGTAATTATACTGACTATAAAACAACTTATATAACTTTTATGAATACTTTTTTGTCACAAAGAAAATAAATTTGTAAATTCATAGTAAACCGTGAACTAATCTTTTTAACATATTATTTTTTTACTAAAAGATATGTAAATAAAAATAGATCATAAATATGAAAATATAAAAAATTTGAGACAAATGATGAACTTAAAGTAATTTACTATATTTTTATTTACCTATCTTCCATTTTGATCATTCTTAAAATTAAAGAATAAAATGTATTAAATAATGGAATATAATTAGTAAAATGTAACAAAGCTAATAATTATATTTAATAATGTTATTTTTAAAAATATTAAAAAAAATGGTTTGATTCTGCAGTGGTTTGAGTATAAGGTTTCGTCATTTTGTCGTATAAATATGCATAATTTTTTCATTTATTCTAACAATAAATTCTATTATGTTTATGAATTATTATTATATAATTGTTAAATTTTGTTGTTATACAATGGTATTATTATAGCATAATATATTAACACAGGTTCAATTTTTTATGGTTTAAAAATATGTATTGGTTGAATGTTAGAAAGGAAATATCTCTATTTTTAAAGAGGGGAATATTTTGAAAAAGTTGAAATTCAGGAGGAAAAATTGCATTATAATATTAATAAACATTATAATATTTAGTTATGGATAAATAACAATTGTTATTTTATGTCTACCTCACTTAAATATTATACAATATTTGTATTCATTTAATAAAAATTTTATTTTAAATTATTATTATTTATCCTTTCATTTATAAGAAAAAAGATATTTCGCAATGCAATGTCGTTTTGTTAATAGATTCGATAAAAATCAGTTTACGTCATATTTTTCAAAACAAATTTCTTTTTTTTAGAGAAAACAATATTTAGATATAAACATTGGAACATAAATACGGAAGATTTTACATAGTCTACAACCATGAATGATGTTGCGTTGTGAGATATTTTGTGCAAAAGAATTAATAAATAAAAATATGAGCATAGATCAACTTTTTCGTAAAATTCCGAGCAATTTTGCGTAATTTACGATTTCTTAAGAAATTTTTTTGTAAAATAACTTCTGAGTTTACAATTTGATATTTATCATAACTCGATTTATTAAACAGCTGTATCATAAAAATAGATAATAAAAAGTATAATTGTATAAAATATTTTTATCAAAGTTTTTTCATGTTTTTGTTCATATATTTTTATATATTTTACACCTTTCAAGATTAAAATGAGATATCCTGTATGTGATAAGTATACAAATACACAATAAGTACAAAATATATGATATGTATGTTTTGTCCAGAAAAAAAAAATGTAATATATATTAAAAATATGTATTAAATAAATAATAATAAAAATAAGATAATAATAGAATTATTAAATAAATAAAAATGATAATAAATATATGATTATCGTATTTATTATTGTAATAAATTAGTGGTGTAAATATACAATAAAAATCGAAAAATTGGTAAAATTGTAACAGAAAAATACTAGCGTGATTATTCATGACGGACGACTATTAGTTACTATTTTGATTTTTAACTACATAATATAATTATTAATATATGCCAATAATATTAAAGAATATATAGCATAGAAGTAAAATTATAATAATGTATATTACTATAATTTTATAACAAAAAATCATATAACAATTCACTTAACCCTATCTTAAAACATAAAGCCTTTACTTCAATACAATAAATCATGTTCGAAACGAAATCTTGACTTTGTTTTTTCAAACGATATTTTAACATCATGTAGCGAATGGAAAAATAAAAATGGTTATTTTCAAAAGAATTGTAAAAATTCAAACATTTATAAAAACACTGATAAATTATTTTGATAACTATATCCATTATGATCTTAGAGATAAAGTCTCTCCTTTACAACAATCTCTTAAAGTTTGCTGTAAAATTTAAAATTTGCTGTATCATTTTATTAAACTTTGAATATTATTGAATCGAATAACTGAATTTTGAACACAAGAGTTAAACGATAAAAATTGCAGGAGATCCTAACATTTTGTCGTTTAACTCTTGTGTTTAAAATTCAATGAAATAGTGAAAAAATCGTACAAGTTTCGAGGAATCGTTGTGAAGAGGAAATTTCAATCTTCAAGACCATGGTAAATCTAGTCATCAATTTTTCTCAAAATTGTTTTTAAGAGGAACAAACTCAAGACAAGAGAAATAAATACTTTATGCTTTAAAAGTGGTTGAGATCAAGTGGTTTGTTATATAATTTTTGATATTAAATTGTCAATAGTTTAAACAATTTAAACTATTGACAATTTTTCACTGTGATTCAATGATGCTCTTCACTATATATATAGCATTACATACAATATCAAAATTTATATATATATATATATATATATATATATCACATAACATAATTATATAACATACGTATTATATATAGACCAACAATTAACAAACCACTTGATCTCATTTTAAAGCATAAAGTATTTATTTCTCTTGTCTTGAGTTTGTTCCTCTTAAAAACAATTTTGATATATATATATATTTTTTTTACATTTTTGCATTCTTAAATTGAATAATACACAAAAATTCGCAATTTACGAGATTCTTTGTTCACTCTCGAACAAAGTTTCAAGTTCCTTCAAATTTCAACTTGCTCAAATATCAAACTCGAATATTGAACGTCCAAAATAATGCAAAGCGAAATAAACTAAATACAAATAACATAAATAATGATAAAAATAGAAAAAAAGTAATGTAGGTTAAAAATCATTTGACACACGGAATGTCTCATATGTAGATAGACAATTACATAAGTACGGAAGATAACACGTAAGACGAGAAGCAACCTAGTTGAAACACGTACCTCCTTTATTGCCGTAATTATTAGTGTATTTTCCCTTCCCTTTCATGTGGCCCATTCATGACATGCTTCTTCGTGGGTGGACTATATAAACGTGTTTATTTCTGTTCCTCATTCTTTTGTGTCCCGCAGGAGCTCGTAAACATCGCGCGTAATGTTCTGACTATCCTTCCTGGTAAATTGTGTTCCGAAAGTGTCGAAAGTAGTGTTACAAAGTTTTTAATCTTTTCTTTATCGCGTCTTTATTTTATCTTCATTTCGTTGTTTTATTTTTTCCGCTCCTCGTTTAATTTTTATCAAGAATGTGTCGGTTTTTCACGATATGGATGTGTACGTCTTTGCTGCACCTAATATTATGTATTGTCTGTGCGTTCGGCCTGTACGAAACAGCACCACCGCATATTATTGTGTTTATGGCCGATGATTTGGTAAGACTAGTCGTATACTTATAATTGGTATTTTTACTTACGAAGGAAAGTAAAATCAATAGTGAGATGATTAATCAATTCTTTTCAAACTAATTTTTCTTAATACAATTAAAAATAATGAAATAATTAATTAATCTCTTTTTTTTTTTAGTACAATTGAGCTAATTTAATTTAGAAATAAAAACAGTAAAGAATTAATTTTGGTAATATAAGACTGATGCAATTTTTGTATAATCAATATAATTATAATATAAAAATAGTGCAATTCTTTGAATACAAGATTAATATAATTCTGTTGTATTAAAATTTATGCAAGATTATTGAACTTTATCATCACATCAAGGACTATTCGTAACATCATTGTAGATTCACTACACATTATTATTCACGAATGATGCGTACTTCAGATAAAACGCCATTATAACAATTTTCGAGTGGATTTCAACATCGATAGTTGAAAAAAATGCAAATTATTGGACTTGAGAAATAGAATAGGCAAAGTTAACATGTATCAATATAGAAAAATAAGAAGACACGAATAAATCGATATAAAAATTCATGAAGATTAATGCAAAGTGCCAACCGTCCAGTACATTATTCGTGCTTGTCTACTTTGCTTAATTCGCTGCGATTAATCTGTAGTACGAAAGTGTTTTGAATTAAAATTGTCCTTAGTTAAGGCAATTATCGTAGCTCGAAAATTACCTACGCCCCCGCACCTAACAAAGATGCTAGTGCTTGTGACTCATTACAACCGCAAAACAAAAATCTCCCACTCCTCTCCACCGCCGACATATATCAATTACTACTAATTACAATTTCGTCATATTTTATTACATAATCGTTTGTTATTTCGCATTATTGTATTTAATTTGCATTAATATCTTGGGAATTGTACCATTGTCAGACAATGATTGTGCCCAATTTGACAGGGTTGGAACGATGTTGGTTTTCACGGATCAAATCAGATACCAACCCCTAACATCGACGCGCTCGGATACAATGGAATTATACTAAATAGACACTACGTATTACCGTCAAGTACACCATCTAGGATAGCTTTCTTCACTGGACTCTATCCAATACGCCTTGGTATGCGTAAGAAACACAGTAGACACAATGTTAATCTTTTTAACACGCTTCACTGCCACGGTTATCATCGATGACCAGCGTTTTTCTTTCTTATACTTATTTTAGAACGACTTAACAATTGAACAATACCATAAAATAAGAAAAAAATGGGTGGTAGTCAATGTATTGATTGAGTGAGGTATTATATTGGATTGTATGTATTGATGTAAAAATCAGCTCTTAAATATCTTGGTTGTGTTTGAAAATATGAAACTTTATTAACAATATAGCGATGTGGTAGCGATCATTTTTTTGTTGGTGAAGTTTCGAGGATTTCAAGAACACCGTTACTTTTTTAAATGGAATCATATTTTTTTATACATTAGTCAATACAATACTCGACATTCTTTATGAAGAAAAGTATCGACAAATTATTAGTTTAACTTTGACTTTGTATGAAAAACAAGGGAAATGTTTTACAATTTTATATTTAACTTTGCAAATAAAATATAAAATAAATTATAGAATATAGAACAAATATAAAATATAGAATAAATTATAGAATATAGAACAAATATAGAACATAGAATAAATTAGAGAATATAAAACAAATATAGAATATAGAACAAATATAGAATATAGAATAAATTAGAGAATATAGAACAAATATAGAATATAGAATATAGAATAAATTATAGAATATAGAACAAATATAGAATATAGAATAAATTATAGAATATAGAACAAATATAGAATATAGAATAAATTGTAGAATATAGAACAAATATAGAATATAGAATAAATTATAGAATATAAAACAAATATAGAATATAGAATAAATTAAGGAATACAGAACAAATATAGAATATAGAATAAATTATAGAATATAGAACAAATATAGAATATAGAATAAATTATAGAATATAGAACAAATATAGAATATAGAATAAATTATAGAATATAGAATAAATTATAGAATATAGAATAAATTATAGAATATAGAACAAATATGGAATATAGAATAAATTAATAAGATATAGAATAAATATAGAATATACAATAAATCAATAGAATTAATTGGCATGTAACCAATAATCATATAGAATAGTTTAGTACAAGATAAAACATCTTTTATTAAGAAATGACATATATAAGGGATAATAAATCTTGGATATTATTCGGATAATGGGAGACTGTATTTTATAAATATTTTAAATATAAATAATAATTAATATAATTAATTAAATAAATAATAATAAAAATAAAAGTAAATAATTATTAAATTGAAATAAAAATGTTTTTGCCATTTTATAAGTATAACAATTTGAAATTATTGATTTATATAGGGATGCAAGGAGAAGGAATCCGCGGTGGTGAGCCACGTGGTTTGCCGCTAAATATAAAAATTTTACCAGAATATTTACGAGGTCTAGGATATACCACGAAATTAATTGGAAAGTGGCATATGGGATACCACACACCTCAGTACACGCCATTGCACAGAGGCTTCGATACGTTCCTCGGTTTTTACAATAGCCATATTTCTTATTACGATTATAGGTATTCGAATAAGGTGAGGTGCATTATGTAAGCTTTTATCATACAGTTTTAACAATTTATACCTATCATTATTTCATTATCGTGTGGTAATAAATGTTGCAAAAAAATTTCTTACTTGCATCTAATGTCAAGATCATGGGATTTAATTAATTTATTTAAAGGAAGGAAATTGAAACGAGAAATGAAAATATTTTGAGCAATATTATTATTATTACGAAAATGAATGTTATTATATAAATTTAAAAATCTTAAATTTTAAATAAATATTATTATTATTTTATTAATGTTACTTTATAATTATAAAATACACTATCTTAAATAAGAAATTAATTATTATTTATAATAAATATCTTTATAATAAATTGTTTTACTTATTATGTAAGTAAAGCTTGTTAAAATAAAAAATTAATTATTATTATTATTTAATATATAATTAATAATAATTAATAATTATTTTATCTATTATGTAATTAAATCTAAAACTTCATATTTTATACATTTCATTTCATGACGCTGAATTTCTTATTTGAATAAAATAATCTCCCTTCCATCGCCCGAGTTGGAAATTTTACAGTTTGTTTCATTTTTCAGAATATGAGCGGATATGACATGCATCGTGGAGACGATCCAGCTCATGGATTCAATCGCGAATACGCGACAGACTTGTTCACCGACGAGGCGATCAGGATCATCGAAAATCACGAAGTGCCGAGGCCTCTCTATCTCCAGCTTTCGCATCTCGCGGTTCACGGCCCTTTAGAACAACCAATAGACGAATACAACGACAGAGAGACTATACAGATTCGTGAGCCAAATCGTCGCAAATATGCTAGTACGTAGACAAAAAAAATTATGATGGTGTTTAAAGCTCTTTATTATATATATAGTATTAAATTTAAAGTTAAATTTAATATTATATATATATATATATATATGAAATTTTAAAAATTAAAAATTAAATTTAATATTATATATATATATATATATATATATATATATATATATATATATGAAATTTTAAAAATTAAAAATTAAATTTAATATTATACATATATATATAAAATTTTAAAAATTAAATTTAAAATTTTATATATATATAATATTAAATTTAAAGCTTTTTATTATATATATTATACATATTTATTACATTATTATATATATTATACATATTTATTACATTATTATATATATTATACATATTTATTACATTATTATATATTTATTATACTATATTATACCTTATTATATACAGGGTGTCCGCGTTAATTTTTGTCACCAGTTTTTAGGCATTTCCGGTAGTGCAATTAAAAAAATGTTTGAGACAAAATTTGTTTAGTATTCGATAGGCTATACGTTCCCATATTCATAGATCTTAATAAATGCTTTTTACGTTAAAAGAGTCAAGGTCATCTTGACTTTTTAAATAGCACCATATGTGTTTGATTATTATAGTATTGTTGCTGACGTCGAGGCGAATTCAACAGTGTATTATACCGTGACATCGAAATAACCTTCAACTCGAAAATTTTGTACAAATTTAATTTTAATGAAGAATTATTTCTTACAAAAAAAAAAAAAAAAATCAGGTTACATCAAACGTTCGAACTGTGATTCATCTTCTATGATACTCTTTTGCTCTTTGTATTCGACTTTTCGTTGTCGCTTATTTTTCGTTAATTAGGTCGTCTCGGTTTATGTTGTTACATGCAGTTGTTATGCGATTCCAAAGTTCTTGAAGATTATTGATTGGTATGTACAACCATCTGATTGCAGATATCCCCAAAGATAAAAATCCAGCGGGAACAGATCTGGAGAACGCCATATGTTCCCTTCCAACGATTTCTAAATTTGCTATTAAGATATCCCCTAATTTTAATAGCATTGTGGGCAGGACACTCGTCTTGTCACATATCGTTCCTGATGTTCGGTGGAATGTCTTGCAATAAGTGTGGAAGAAAATTAAGATACCGAACAGCTGTCAAATTTTCTTCGGAGAAGTATGGTCCGATTAAGTGACCATTTAAATTACCACACTAAACATTGACGCTAATTTTAGTTTGAAAATGCATTGTGGATTCTCTGCCTAGCTAATAACGTTGATTTCGTCGATCGAAAACACCATTATTGATAAACTTAGATTCGTCCATATGATTTTCATAAAAACTTCAGGATCCTCTTCATTGGCAGCAGCTAGCCAAGCCAGAAATTCTAATCCGCGCAGTTCTTGAACTAATGTTATTTTAAATGGATGATATTTGTATCTTTTCGTAATTGTGTTAACAGTTGTGACATGTTCATTTCTTTTGCAACTTGTCGAAGAGACGCATGCGGATAGGCTTCAAAATAACTTAGCATTGATATTGCATTGTCTTCATTTGTGACGTGTCTACTGCGTCTAGGATGTTTTCCATCCAGGAAATTTACCATGCAAAAGTAATGATTTTTGAAGATAACGGAATGTTCCTCTATCTAGATAACAAATCTAGACTAGATGACAAATCCTATTTGGAAATCGTTCTTCGTATAATCATTCTGCCTTGCGTGCACTTTTTCCACATTCATTGAAAACAGGTAGCGTATCACATCTTTCTGTATTTGAAAACACCATCTGAAAGATCAAATCGTAATACGATTAAGATACGACCGACGCAATACTACCAATAAACTGATCAGACCGATGTCACGGTGACTAACAAATGACTCTGAAGCGTACATAGATACATAATTATTAGCGATAACGAAAAGTCTAATACACAGAGCGTCAAAGTCAAAGTCACAGTATAACACGTTGTTGAATTCGCCTCGACATCAGCAACAATACTATGATATCAAAAACGTACGGTGCTATTTAAAAAGTCAAGGTGACCCTAAGAAGCATTTTTTGAGATTTAAGAATATGGGAACATGTGGCCCATCAAACACTAAATAAATTTTGTCTGAAACATTTTTTAATTGCACTACTGGAAATGCCTAAAAACTGGTGACAAAACTTAACGCGGACACCCTGTATATAATAAAGTATAATATAGTATAATAAATATATAATAATGTAATTATTAATGAATATATATAATGTATATAATGAAGAGCTTTAAATTTAATATTATATATATATATACATAAAATTTTAAATTTAATTTTTAAAATTTTATATGTATATAATATTAAATTTAATTTTTAATTTTTAAAATTATATATATATAATATTAAATTTAATTTTTATTTTATTAAATTTTATATATAATAAAATTTATATAATAATATATATATATATAAAATTAAATAATATATATATAAAATTAACTTTAAATTTAATACTATATATATAATAAAGAGACACCCTCATAATTTTTTATATATATATAAAGATTTTTATTATGCATATAAAGTATAATAAAAAAAGGGACGGAGGGATGGAGAATGATTTTATAAATATAGGTTCAGAAGCTTTTATTTAAATCGCATGTATATCTATTATTTTCTATTTTCTCGAGGTTTGAGTATTCTATTTAGGATAAAATTAAAAAATACGCACTTCGAAATATTAAATTATTATTAGTTAAAAATAGCACTTCGAAATATTAAATTATTATTAGTTACTTTAATTTATTATTTACTTATTTATTATTAGTTACTTTAATTAAATTATGATCAGTTACTTTAATTTATTATTGTTATTGTTATAGAAAAAAATAGATATTATTGTATAGGAAGAATAACTTTATTTATTGTGAGATTCAAATAGATCATTTCCAATTCATTTCTCGAGTATAAATGAAATAACAAAATGATCGACAAGGATTAGAAAATATTTGACTAAACATCCAAATACAAAATAACGATTTCGTTTGATAGCCAAATGATGAAATAATTTGGACAAAAATCATTTTCACGTTCAAGTAAACTAACGCATAGTTATTTCAAATAATATAATGATACAGTATATTATTCAATATTATTGAATTACATATATTGTATAATTAATATATTATTTTTAAAATAATATATTAATCTTAATATATTAATATGTTAATGGCAATAGTACATGACTTTATTGTCTAACATGTTAACGTTGATTTAATTAACAATTAATTGAGAAACTGATTGACAATTACGAATTATAAATTATATTGAAGTAATTATTAATTATACAATATTGATTGCAACGTGTGGATTGACAACGAGTTTCAACATATGTAGAAACATGTTTAGCTCAGCGTGTAGAATTTTCAAATTCGACTTTCTCAAGGACGAGAGATATCTCTAACAAGTTCAAAGTATATGTTATATTCTCACAAATTGTCATCAATTTAGATATTTCTTTGCTATTTCTTTATTATTTGTCCGTACAACTTCAACAGAAATACAAAGTTCGCAAGATAAAATGTAAATTACAGGTATTACGTGTAAGTAACTGACTTTATAAGAGATATCGTTATCTTAGTCCGTATTTGCACGGTTTTACGACCTCGTAAGTCACGTGTAACACTAATTGAATGCTTGCTTGTTTTATTATAGAAATGGTGTCGAAGCTAGACAAGTCGGTTGGGGCTATAGTTCACGCGTTAGGAGAGAAAGGAATGCTGCGGGATTCCTTGATCCTATTCCTCACCGATAACGGAGCACCGTCGATTGGTAGATGCGGAAACTACGGCTCGAACTATCCTTTGAGAGGGGTATGATCGCGCTATTAACGCGGCGCTTTTATCCACTTAAAAACAAATTAACATAGTTAATTATACGAGACTATCATTTAATTAAATTGTCAGTTTAATCAGTCTAATCGGAACAAACGAAAATAATCGATTATAGCGGGACAGAATTATCATTATATTGTCAATTTGAATATCGTTCAAATTCAGTTTTTCACGAAAGTTTGCACAATGGTTGTAATGGTTGAATTTATGAATAGAGACTAAAAAAAAAAAAAAAAGAATACACACATATAAAAAAATTTGAAATTGCAAGAAAAGCATAAGATGTAATCCAATGTATCTGTATTGAATTCACTAGAATATTTAATGAATGAGATAAAAGTCTATTTGGCCGGTTAATAGTTTACTATTCATAATTTATTCCGAATAAAATATTCATTATTTTCGATAACGATGAGGTATCAAACTATAAAGGGGTAATATGTTTGATATTCAGAAAAGTTTTTGCCGACTTCTGTTGATCACACCGGAGGTTTCAAGGTTTTAAAAGTGGGAGGAGCTGTTGTTGCTAGCATCTATTTTGATTAAATTAGAAATTCTGTTTATTCTGTTTTCTAAATGAATCTAAAACTCTATTTAGATCAAATTAAAATCATTCCGTATAATTATTGATATGATTAATAATTATTATTTTATAAGTACATAGTTACATTAATAATTATATATATAATTTATATAATATAAATATTATTATATTATATATATAATAATAAATTAATATATAACATTATAAATTATTATAATATTTATAATAATTATAAATATTACAATTATATATATATAATTTACATAATATTATTATATAAATTTATTTATATTATACATTATTATTTATTATTAATATTATATTAATACATAATATATTATATATATAATAATAAATTAATATATAACATTATAAATTATTATAATATTTATAATAATTATAAATATTACAATTATATATATATAATTTACATAATATTATTATATAAATTTATTTATATTATACATTATTATTTATTATTAATATTATATTAATACATAATATATTATATATATAATAATAAATTAATATATAACATTATAAATTATTATAATATTTATAATAATTATAAATATTACAATT